TGCTAATTCTTAGTGTACCTGTCCTGTCTGGCCGCTCAGGGCTCTGACACTCCAGGGTAGGCAGTGGCGCAGCTGCAGGGGGTGGGGGGAACCTCTAAGCGGGTGGAGAGAGGGAGTGACAGGAGCTCACTGAGGTTTACCCATTAAGTGCTAGGGAGGTGCTAGGGGCTTTCTGAACATTCATACCATGGAAATAAATGAACCAGCCCAATGAGAAGAAGCAAAGGCTATTTACCCAGAGCTTGCTACAGCAAGGGAGGCAGCCTCCATCCGTTGCATTCTGGTGGAGACTCAAAGGCGGGCAGGGCTGGGATACCTTTATAGTGGGCAAAGGAAACTTCATATGAGCCCTGATTGGAGGCTGTCAGCCTGGGGTAACTGGAGGCAGCTAACTAGAAATGGGGCGTCCTGTGTAGTTGGTTAGGGGAGCATATCTGGATTTCTCTCATTGGTCCTAAGTTGGAAGCAGGGACAAAATTAGGAAAGCTGTCAGCTAGTAACTGAGCCCTGGCCGTTTGGGGCCCATTGTTACAGAAGTTATTGTTTAGCTTCCTGGATTGTCGCTAGAGACGGCAGTCAGGCTTCCTGCAAGTCTGACCTATAGCAGGCTGGCTCCTGGGTTAGTTATTGAAGATAAGGGGTTGCTGGGGGTTGTGGGTCAAAGTTTTATTTTTATACATGGTCCGGCCAATGTGGGTTTGTATTTTCAGTCTCTCAGCACTTGATTCCCACAGCAGCCTATCGCACAGATGAGGCAAATGAGGCCCAAGGAAGTCAGGTAATATGCCTGAGCTCCCTCGGCAGCGGGGCGTGACCCCTGACTCTGCACATGTCCCCACTTCAATCCACCCCTACACCAGCCAGTGATCCTTAAAGACATAAATCAGATGGCATCATTAAACTGGGCTTAAACCTTCCCAGGACTGCTTCCCCTTTCTCTTAGGATAAGACCCAGCTTCACTGGGGACCCAAAAGCCTGGAGACCCAACCTTGCCTGCATTCAGGGCCCCTCCACCCCTTGGGCTCCTCTGGGCCTGGTGCCAGTGGGGGGCGCTTGCTCAGATCCTCTGGGACCCTGCTGCTTCTCGCCTTAGGGACTTTGCTCCGGCCATGCCCTCTGCCTGGAACACCTTTTCTGGTCTTTGCGTCCTAGAGGACGCAGCTCAGGCCTCACCTCCTCTAGCCTAAGTGGCTGCTGCTGAAGGTCAGGGCCCATCAGCCCTTCATGGCACTTCTCACTGTCTGAGCCGATAGGGGCTTTCAGTTGTTTGTGGATTATCCGGCTCCCCGGCCAGAATGAAAGCTCTGTGAGGGCGGGGCACGTGACCTGCCCCGTTCTGCTGTGTTCTCACTGTCTGGAGCATAGTTAGTGCTCAGCAAACACCCTGTGAGTGAATCAGTGAAGGAGTTTTCGGCTCCCTGGGTGGCTGCTCTTCACATTCTGGAGATGGTGCTCCAGCTCCTTCCCTGACCTGTGACTGCGGAAGAGATGACGGACAGAGCCGGCCTCAGGCTGTGACTGTGGTGGCTGCCTGGCCTGTGGCCCCTCTCTTTGGATGAGCTGGGCAGTGACTCAGCAAGCCGCCCTCAGGGGAGAACGTGGGTGCCTCCAGCAGCAGGTAAGGAGGGCCATATGCCGAGGCTGGGTGGGTTACTGGTTCCTGTCATACACTGGTGACAGTCCCCAAAAGTTAATTTTACCATCATCCCCATGTCACAGTCCATGAAATGAGGCTCAGAGGGGTTAAGCAATCCATCTGCAGCCCCTCTAGTGTGGCGCTGAGGTGGCGTTTAACCCAGAGCTGCCGCCTCTAAGCCATGGGTGCAGAAGCCCCGTCAGTGCTGGGTCGTTGAGGCCTGCCCCTCCGCCACCCCTCCTGCCCCTCTGCCACCCCTTCTGCTCCTCTGCTTCTCCCTGGGCCCTCTTTCCTGCCCTTGAAGTTTATTTCAGCCTGTTGGCACCCAATGGGGCTAAGGAAGGGTCGACGGATTGCTGAGTTCCTCCCCCTCCCCCTCCTGGGGGGATCTCTGGTGTTTTCAACAAAGTATTGGACACACTAAGTAAAAATTAGCTGAGGAAAGAAAATCTCTGCTATGGGATCATTCCCAGTCTCTAAATCACTTGTAATCACTACAAATCTATAGACGAACATTGTGCAGTTTAACAGCACTTTTCGTTTTTTGGTAACTCAAACTTGCTTCCCAGCAGTACCACATCCTGGTGTTTGCTCAGCTTGTCTGTGCAGAAGGCTCAGCTCCCAGGTCCCTGGGACCAACCTCTGCCCCCTGCCCTGCCCCCGGCAGCTGCCTGGGGTGGACTCCAGCTCCGACCCTGGGAGGACACCAGGCGCGGCTGAGGGCCTTCTTGGAAGCAGAATGGGCAGGGCAAGGAGGGGTTCTGGCCTTGGAGGCTTTGCCTGGCCTCTCTGGGTCTGTCCTCATCCAGGGCAGGGCTGCTCCTGTGCCCTTGGCATAGCCGGAGAGCACTCGCAGAGGGAGAAGCGCTCAGTGCCCACGGCCAGGCACTTTACCATGGGCCTGAGCCTTGGTATCGCAAGGCCAAGAGCAGGCACGTGCACCGCTTCAGCTCGGCACAGGCCTGGACTGGCCTGGGCACCCCTGACACCTCCATCCCCAGGGTCTCTCTCCACGGCCGCCTTCAGGTGGTTTCATTTCATGATGACCCTGAGACAAGCCAAATTCAGATGGTTGATCTGGTCCTTCTGCTTCAGAGACAAAACCCAAAGCCTCCAAGTCCCTGCAAAGCCCCCAAATATGACTTCAAGGTTATCTGTGGCTGGGAATTGTCTCCATGACCCTGGGGACTTGGTTACAGCGGAGCTGCTGGCCTGTGTCCCCCAGATCAGCAAGTGCCCCTGGAGAGCCTGCCCGCCCAGGTCCTCCCTTGTTGCAGATCTGTAGACTGAGACCCAGAGGGGGAAGCAACCTGCTAAGGTCACACAGCTGAGAGGGAGCCTGGAGCAGAGCCCAGGGCTTCTGAGGCCCAGGTGGTGCTCTCTCCGAGCTGGCTGGTGGCTCTGATTTGGAAGTAGAGGGTGGGTCCTACTCACTGACGTCTGGAAATGAGGGAGATGACAGGGTTGTGCCCTTGGGGGCCCACCTCAGTAGGATGGGAAATGAATGACAGGGGTGTATTTGTGACATCCTCAACTGCCCCTCTCTAAAACCTTCCACTGTCTCCCCCTGGTTCTTGATCTCCTTCGACTCCTCCTGCAGTAAACTTTTTCAGAGACTGTCATTCACTGGGAGGCAGCAATGACTAAGAGCCACAGCATGGAGTATGGTTTGTACTCCAACTCAGAGGATAAAGCCAGGATGGTGGGGTCCCTGCATCAACCTGAAACCACCAATCCCCTCAACCCCTTTGAGGTCTGGTCTAACCAAAGTCAAGAGCATTTCATTTTGCAACTGAAATTTTACTCTCATTTTAGGGCAACCAGGGTAAGAAACGATTCAAATCATGCTATATACCAGGCCTGATTCCAAACCTGAAGTCTTATTGGTTTGTGCTGATGTCACCTAACCAGCATTTGATATGAAACTACAGTAGAAAGCTGAGGGGAATTTGCTGTGAGGGTGGAGGAGAGAAAAGCTGAAGTTCTCTTTTATCATAGTGAGAGGAGAGCATGTGAGGCATGGGACCGAAAGTGAGGAAACTGCTGTTCTATTCTCGGCTCTGCAATTAGCTTGCTGTGTGCCCTTGGGCAGGTCACTTCCCCTCTCTGAGCCTCAGTTTCCTCATTTTATAAAAACAAGGATCTATATGGCTCTTCCGCTCAGTTTGAAGGAGCTGTGATTCTGGCTTGGTTCATGGTCATGGGTGAAGAAATCAATGACTCGGTTTCATTTCATAACTTGGGGCCCTCAGCACTTCCCAGCAGCGGCTGGGAACAGGACTGGGCTCTCACTGACCAAGTTAATCTGAGTTTCAGGGAGGTGGCCAGCAGCCTCGGCTGTCGGAAATCTCACCAAAGAGGACAGGGACGGATGAGGGCTGGACGAAAGCTTATTTCTGCCACCCAAGGGCTGTGACTGGCATCCAGGCGCCAATGTTTATTCAGAGTGGAGCTGCAGCTATTGCAGTTTGAAGTGTCATTAGCTGCTGTTTTTGATCAATGGAAAACAGTGAAAGCAACAAATAAGAACATCCATTTGCTGACAATTTCAGTCATTTGTGACATTTAATTAGCATAATTGACCTGAACTGGACCTCTTTCTCCACCTGAATTTAAAAATACCTCACTGTTCCCCCATCCCAATACATCTGAGAAATTTTCTTTTTTTTAAAATGAGGTTTTAACTAAAGCCCAGTATCAAAACACCATATAATACTTTTATCTCATTGAAGACATTTGATGCATATTAAAATATTATTGCTTTAAGGCTTATTTTGATTTTTTGCCCAAGAGTGTATGCAGAGGCTTGCTACTCAGATAATAACAAAGAAACCTTAAACATGAAAAAAGCACATGAAAGGTAATATGTTCCCCATTAGTCCCAGTATCATTTCCCCAGGATTACTGCTTTCCAAATATAGCATTAGTTTAAAAATAAAAGGCCGTTTACAGTAATGGGACACTTGTTCCTGCTTTGGAGCTTCTGGGCCCTCCAAGGGGCTTACACAACAGCTTCATTAAGAGCGACTATTGGGGAGAGGGCTGGCTTAAAAAAAACAACCCAGCATGCCTCCTCAAAGGTCCCCCAGATAGGCCACCTACTCTGACCCAAGGCCCGTGTCTAACAAGCCTTGTAATTCCTCCTTCAGAACTGCTTTTTTGTGCATTTCTTTCAGAGATGAAAACATTCTGGAAATTGATAAGCAATCCACTGGATGCCACCTGCGAAGAGAAGGGATGTCCTGAACTCTGCCTGCTGCCCTCATGACAGGAAAGAGTGTGGCTGCCATCCCTGGGAAAGGGGTCCTTTTGGGTTTGGGGATCTCTTTGGTCCTGGGAGATCCAGGGACAATAAACTCCAGATGGGAAGCACATGGACCCTGTGTATGAGCCTGGTTTATTTGACCCAGACATGCCATTGTTTTGCTAAGGATAGCTCAAGTCCATTTTCAGTTGGATGAACTAATCTAGCTAAGGGACAGAACAGTCATGTACAGGGAAGGGCTCTCTCAAGTGCTGCAAGGGCCACTCCAGTCTGCTTCCACGGGCTGGCCTGTGTCGAGCACCCACCGGAAGCTGCCAGCCTGCTGAGGGCCCCCGATGAGACTCATGTTGCACATTTGCTATTTTGGTCCAACAATGCAGGTCCCTTCCGGTTTTGGGAGCTGGTCTCCTGGCACTCATCGAGGGCCCAGCTTCGAGAGGCCTCCGCGAGCCAGGCATTGAGCTTCCAGCCTGAAGGGAGAGAGTTCTTCTGGTTTTAAATCCCACTAAATGCTGACCATAGCTTGTTGTCAGCAGGGAGGGGAAGATCAAGAGGGAGGATGGAAGAGAATGGAGAGGTGGTAACAAGAGCTAAGACTGATGGCCCAGAAGCTTGCCTTCTTCCCCAGCGGCTCTGCTTCACCAGGGCTGTCTTTGCCACAGGGAGAGTTCCTTGCCTGGAGCCAATTGCAAGCTGATTGGGGGTTGGGGGTTGTGTCTCTGTGTCCATCTTGCACGGTCAGAATTTGGGCCTCATTGTCAGACATTTGGCTACTGTTCTTGAAGCTCTAAATTCCTCCTTCAGGGAGAGAATTGCTCATTTCCCCTCATACTCCCAGCCCGGTGGCTGGCACAGAGCAGGTAGGCAGCACCCTTGAACCGAGAGAACAAGCGTCTGTGGGTAACGGTCCCCTGAACAGACCAGGTGCCTGGAGGGCAGAGCCCCAGTCTGGTTGTCTCTGCAGAAGCTCTGAGAACTGCCGCCATTCATTGCTGCTACTGTCCAGGTTCAGAGCTGAGTGTGCTACATGGTTCTCTCATCCAGTCCCCGCTCCACTACCCTGACTGAAGGTGATCTTGCCATGCCTAACTTGCAGGGCATCAAACTAGGGTGTAGGGAGGCTAACTTGCTAATGCTCACACAGCTAATGATGGGGCAGCAGCCCGGCTCCTGTGCCCAAGCCTTGGCCATCATGCTGGACCATTTCCCTCACCTCCCCCTGGCTACAGTCCGGTGCACCCAGCAGTGGCTCAAAAGCCCCTCGGAGGCGTATAGAAGGTGGAATCAACCCCTTTGGAACAATGTTTGACTTGGTATCACTGCCTTCTTCCAGGGACTCTACTTCTTTGAGAGATGATCAACATCACAGGAATTGAACATGCAACCAATAGGTACTGAGTACTCTGCTTCCAGCACTTTGATGCCCCAAGGAGGAATACAGGTCAGCCCCAGACATGCTTCCTGCCCTCTAGGAGCTCACATGGGTGGAGAAGGTAACGACAAAGGGCCATATTAAATGGTCCAAAGAGTGGGATAGTTGCAAAGGAATTTGTATCACAAGGTGGAGGAATTGAGATGAACTTTAAGGACCATAGCATCTCCATCAATAATCTACACCTGGGGAATAGATGTGTAGAGAAGGAAAGCGAATGTTGATTGTTCCAGAGTCATTAGATAGGTCAGAGCACAGCTGGGGTCAGAACTTGGAAGTCTCCACTTTCCTAGCCTCTTACTCATTCCTCTACCTGGGTGTAGGGGACAGAGAGACAGGGAGGGGGGAGGGGTGGTCCAAAAAACTCAGGAAATACAGGCGTGGGCTTGAGGGAGTAGAAGAAGGCTACTACTTCTGCCCCCCAGGTACAGAAGTGGCGCGCACAGGATGTGGGGTGTGGGAACATGGGGGGGCTGGGTGGTAAATAGATTGTATCCCCCAAATCAACTCTTACTGATGAGCAGAGGCAGCACGGAGCGCTGAAGAGGATTCTGAGGATGAAAGAGACCAGGACCAATTAGCAACATCATCCGGGAAAGTAGGGGGAAGGCGGTGACCTGCGCTCCACACTTGTCAGCCCTGGATCCCTGGCCTAAGGTGTGCTTAAAGGCCGGTAACACGTGGTAGCTCTTCTGACCTGTCAGCTCCTAATGGGGGAAGGTGATGGAGAGGAGACTTGCTGGTATTTATTAAGTTTTCTTTTGTGGACCATTTCCTGCTCACTCTGACTGACTCACCTGGTGCTAATATCAGTGATTTCCTCTGTCTTTTCCACAGGACCTGTCACCTGCTGAAGCCTGGCTGCCTGCCTTGCAGGGGAGGCAGGGGTCGGGCAGTCAGAAGGAGGGCTTGGGCAGGGGGCAGAGCAGCCCCCAGAAGATCCTCTGTCTCCTGCATTTCCAGCGGGCTCCAATGACCACTGCCGGGAGATGCTCCATTTCTGCTGCATCAGAGCTGTTTCAAACTCTGTTCACCTGTAATAAGGGAGATTCTCCGGGAAACATTACCGTATTGGACGTTTGGGCCACCCAGGTAAGGCAAAAGGACAACCTAAAGGCCAGAGGTTATGACTTTTAATGTCAGCGTTGGCTTTGAAACATTCACAACTCCTCTGGAATCAACTTGGGTCAATGTTGTCCTTCCTTCTTCTGAGAAAGAGAAAAGGTAAGCCTGACTCAAAGGAGCGCCTGGGCAGCTTGGCTGGTAGGGAGAATGTGGGGCCTTTCAGCAGCAGAGGCTGAAATGCTTCCTGCAGGTGAGATCCTGATGCAGAGACCCACGGTGCTGGGGGTGGGGGGCCAGTCTACATGCTGCATGGCCCCTCTTCTGCCGAATCAGTGGCAGAATGAGAACTTCCAGAGCAGGTGGCCCTTTCATGTTTCTCTGTATTTCCCTACCTCCTGAGTGTAATCTGACATACCAGTGTGGAAAGCATCAAGAATGCCCCCCCTTCCACTCGGGAGAAAACCCCAGCCACTCTGCCGCGGACTCGGAGGGGATTGCATTGTCTAGAACACATCAAACAACCCACGTCTCTCTTGTAAAAATTTTACAAGAAAATCATTGAAGGGCAGCAGAGCTATCCTTTCTCTCTCTTCCTCCTTAAATTGCAAACCTGAGCTGATATTCTCGATTCCCACACTCTGGTGTCAGCCGGCCAGCAAGAGCGCTGGGCTGGCGGGCGTGCAGCAGTGGAAACCTCGGCCCCCGGATCATTACACTTGCAGGCCACGGCTTGTGGGATCTAGTGATTTGGACATATTTTATTTAACCAGCTTAGTAAAAGGTAATATTCAGCAGCTGTGATCTATAGCAGAATTACAATTTTCAGGGTCAAGGAGGGATTTTGATATTAGGAGGTTGGGCAGAATTGCTATGAAATCTCATGAGCTGTCTTTAAAAATAAATGAGAAAATAGGTTATCCAAGAGTCATTGTAAGGGAAAAATCAATAGGCAGTGTCTATTCACTTGGGCTATCAAAATCCTTGAAATTTGAACAAAAGTTTCACGTTTAGTGTACTATAGGTTTTGAAATATCAGCGCTGGAGGCTCAGTGGGTACAAATTCACTGCTGTGCATCCAAACGAGGCAAGCCCTGTGAAGCTGTTAGCTCCCCGGAAAGATGGGGGAGAGTCTTGGTGACCAAATTAGACGGGTAAAAGGAGACTCCTCGAGAAGACGGGTTTATCCAAGGTGGGCGGTCTGCCCACAGCCACTGGGGGTGGCTGGTGGCTCAGCGCCCCTTCGTGACTTACCTCTAGCCCAGCAGGAGGGCAGCTCCCAAGTGTCTTCCCATCCTCTGCCTTTGGACGGGAAGAGATAACTGGGAATTTCCTGGCGAAATTTTGGAGGGTCACTTGGAATGATAGAAATTGTCTCTCATTCATTCATTCATTCATTCTCAATCAACAGACTTTTTTTTTTCACTATTTCACACGAATAGGCTCAAAGCAGCCCGGACTGTCTTCCTCCCCAGGTCCCTCTGTGACTGAGCACCCATGGCAGGTAATTGCTAGGTAACTGCTGGGTCTCCCTCATCAGCCTGAGAGCTCCGGGCAAGGCAGAGACTCTGTTTTGTGGTTTAGTGGTGTTTTCTGATTCCTGGTGCCATGTTTGACATTTAGTGTTAACAAGTAATCTGAAAACTTTAAAAAAATATTATGTTTTCTAATGAATGAAGAAATAAAATCCTTCTATTCACCTAAGGCATTCCTCAGATGTTTTAAGGCCATAATCATGAGGCATTTTTAGAGAAAACAAAAGACCTGAAACTGCCCACTACCTGATAACATTTGTTCACCACGATGTTCCAGCACAGATGATTTAACCAAGATGAAGGCAATGGTGATGGTTTATTGCACGCCTGGTGGTGCTTTCCATGGGTTACCTAATTCAATCTTCCTATCAGTCCGTGGGGTGGGTGATGTTTCCCCTACTTTACAGTCAAGGAAACTGAGGCTCGGTGAGGAGGCTCGGTGAGGAGGCTTGGTGAGGAGGCTCGGTGAGGAGGCTCGGTGAGGAGGTAAGCAGATCATTCCAACTCACCAAGGAGGGGACCAGAGCACATCTGGGTCTGAGATCACTCAGTGAAGCTATCTCTTGGGTCAGTTCAAGAAGGAGAAAAACAAGACCTGTATTCAAATGTAACCTGAAGCATGATTCTTCCCAGTTTGAGCATTAAAAAAATGACAGTGACTGTATATTAACGATACCAAAATTTAAAAAAATAAAAAAAAAATGACAGTGTTTATATGCACCGTACAGAACCTGTGGCAGAGCACTGAACTGAAGATTTATGACTCCCCTTCAGTTAGAAAGGGAATGGAAGTAAGATAAATAATTTAGATTCAAAAGATGGGAATAGCAGACTTTGGAATTAGGCATTTTATTTAGCTCATCAAATAATACAAGTTAGTTCAGGAAACAACATTAGACATGTATTACTTATACTAACGCTATGTAGAACCACATTTCCAAGAAATCTAATGAAAATAAATGCTGGAAATAAATTACTTCATGGAATATAGCAAATAAATAGATTTTTTACAGAAAAAAAAATAACCCTGTGAATATTAGAAAAAAACGTGAGGTTTCGGCGAAGGAAGCATTGTGGAAATGGGGGAAATCGGAACTTGAAACGAATGCCCACATATTAATGAAAATTCGCAACAGATATTCTAACTCCTACCCCTCATTTCCTTGGTTTTAGGAGTGACTTCTCCCATCCCAGAGACAGGCTCTGAGCACTGCTCCTGACACCCACAGTCTTAGGGATCCAGATAATGTAAGCGCAGCATCATTAGGAACCATGAAATTGCATTTCCTCGGGGGAGGAGCGCTCCCTCTCAGTTACACAGGGAAGAGGGATTAATGAGCCGATCTCAGTTTAAAGCACCTGTGTGCTACACGGGTTCTGATCCCACTCTGGAGCAGCTCTTGGGTCTGATGAATTATCTGCAGAAAGTTGAGCTGGAGCCAGAAGACATCACTCAAAATGAAACGAGGTGAAATAAGATAAACGTAAAACACCAAGACATTAAAATGATACAGAGATCACCCACTTTCAGGAAAAAGCTGTGGAAGAAGCCGAATAGGGGTCATCTAAATTATTCATCTCTTCAGAAATGACACCATTGAGTATGCAACTTCGTATTTGGACTTTGAGGCAACTTGATCTAAACTGACATTCACTCCATAAGTGATATCTTAAAGTAACAGCACTTTTATAAAATATGACAGGATGCTACTCTGGACCCACTCCACCCCTGTACAGTTGAGTCCTCAAATGTCAGCCAAGGCAGACTGAAGGCTGTACTTGAAACTCCCATGCTGGTAGCTTTGGAAACAGGTCTGAAATGGAGATGCCTTCCCCCTGGAAGAGTAAGTGGGATCAGGCTGTTTAACATTCTCAAGAAGATGATCCCTCAACCCAAACCTGGTTGGCACCCATCCTTGGTGCTGGTACCTTTGTACTGAGCTCTGAAATTCTGGGCCTCATTGGAAAATAAAATGGATGAGTACAGACATCAGTGCCTAGTCTTTGCACACTGTTAGGCCTCAGCTCTTGGGCCGGCTGACGTCTTTCCATTTCACAATTTGCTTGGACTCCAAATGAAATCTCTCCGGGAACTTGCACCTCTGCTCTGTATGTGGGGAGGTGGGGAGCTGAAACTGGAGCTTTAGTTCTGGGACGTAATATCCTCAGGAGAAACTGACTTGTCAGTGGTGTTTAAACCTACATGAGGGGGACTGAACCCCTCTTAGAAAGAAGGGCTGTGCTCCAAGGCCGAGGATTGGCACAACATCGAGTTTTTTTGCAAGGGTTCTGTCCAAGTGCATGTTCATAATGTTGCCCATGAGCAAAGGAGGGGCAAGCACAATGTTAACGATCTGGTTTCCTGATGGGGACCCTGGCGCCCAAAAGCGAAAGTCACTCATCTAGCCAGGAGTGGCTCCATGATCTGAGATCCAGAGCAAACCAAAAATATGAACACTTGTTCAAACAGCAAGAAAAAATACTTCTTTTATCTAGCCAGGAGTGGCTCCATGATCTGAGATCCAGAGCAAACCAAAAATATGAACACTTGTTCAAACAGCAAGAAAAAATACTTCTTTCCTTTCTTCCCTGGGCTCGCTCTTTCTCATCTTGTCATGGTGTTTTACATTTCTTAGTTAATGTCTGTCTAAATAAAGTCAAAAATTTAAATTATTAGTGCAAATTTTACTGTTCATTTTTATATTGTACAATGGCAGTTTTAAATGCAAATATCAGAATATTTAACATGGGTGTGATCACCGAAGTTACACCCTGTATTTCAGGGCTCATATCAAGAGGGTGCCTTAAATTGTCCAGAAGAGACAAGGCAGACAGACTCGGGAAGGTTGGAGGAAGGAAGAGATGGTTCCCTCAGGCACAGAGCTGGCCCCTGACTTGTGACTTGGGGCACATATGTGCCCTTGAGCCTGGTGGTCAGGTTCCCTTTCTTCTGGTGGCTGGATGGACATGCTGTGTCCCAGTCCTGGGCCAGGAGGTCGAATAGGCATCAACCCCTTCTGGGCCCCCATTCCAACCCTCAGCAGATAGACAGCCCTCAGGGGCATCGCACCTTTGAGCCAGGGTGCATAGGTACACTAGGTGCCTGGATTGGGGTGGGGTAGAGGCTCTTCCCCACCGAGTCCCCCACCGAATGTGCCCTGATGCTGCCAGCCTAGGGTAGCCACCATGCCCTGAGAGGATGTGGGATGCACTTGCCCAGCCCTGATTGTCCCCATGCCTGTGCCCTGGTTGAAGGTAGGTTGGCAGTGGTGGCTGGGTGGAGGTGGGGAAGGGAAAGCCAAGTGGAACTGGGGTTCCAGGGGTCTGAGAACCAGACCCCAGAAGCGAGGAGGTGGTGCGAGGCAGGGCTGTGTGTGAGTTGAGGCCTCTAGCCCCCAGTTCCTGGTCCATTTTCCCTTTGGAATTCATTTACAAGACACAATTATAATAAAATTATCACGAATTTCAAGACAGTGACTGCAAAGAGTATTAAACCCCAACTGTGGACTCTTCTGAGTACAGGGCCCAGTGTGACTGGTCATACACCCATGATACCAGCCCTGCATCCAAGACTACCCAGAACTCAGCACACCAAGCCTCCTGGTCTTCCAGAACGAGGTTCTACGCACTGGGGGCTGCCTTCTTACCCTGAGGCTTTGGTCCTGGCTTTGTCAGGAATGTTCCCTTTTCGTTGCCATGGATGACTGGAGGTGACAGAGACCTACCTTCCTGAGACTTGCTAGTCCAGTTTTCCCATTCTTGGACTAGGAACCCAATGCCAGAGAAGGGTTTGGCTCACGTAAGACCACATGTAGTGCTGGTGGGACCGCAGGGCCTGGAGCTCTGAGTACCGGCGATCTGACACGGCATGGAAGATGCCAGACTTTGGGAAAACAGCAAGGCCCCCTGGGGTCTCCCTGCCAGGCTGCTCCTGGGTGTGAAAGCACCGCAGCCACAACCACCCGGGCCCAGGAGCATTTCCGGGCCTTCCCCAGGCCCACAGCAACGTGCCCTGAGCACCAGCAGCCAAGGCTTCCTGCAGGCTCAGCAGCAGGGTGGGGCCTCTATTATTACTTGTTTCTCTTAAGAATCTTTTGGTGGAGGGGGCTGGCAGGTGGTGGTGGACCTGAGGACAGAAATGCTTTTCTCAGGTGATGTTAGTAGCTCAGCTTAGGAGAGACCCAGGGTGTCCCCTGCCAATTCCTCAAAAGAGCAAAGATCTGACATTGAGGGAAAAAAAAATGATCATAGCCAACATGGATGGAAGTGAGGTTTCCTGTACATGATGGTTTAAAAAATGTAACAGAGGAATATTAGCTCCCGTGCTTTGCCAAGGAGACCAGTGGCCCCGGGGCTGGGCCCTGGCATCCAGAATGTGGTGCCATTTGAAGTTACATCTCTTAGTGCAAAGGAGAGAAGCTCGTCCAGAGGCTGAAGACCTGGAGTCCACTCCCAACTCTGCTACCAATTTGCTGGGTGATTTTGAGCAAGTCTCATCCACTCTCTGAGCCCCATTTCCCCATCTGCAGATGAGCAGGTTGTCCAAAACTGTCCCTAAAAGCCTGCACAGCTTGAGGGTTCCATGAACCTGAGCTCGTCCGCCCGGTTGGCTTTTGCCATCCAAAGTGTTGTCCAGGTGGCCAGCATGGAGCTTGAGGGCACAAACCCACATTTCCTCATTTCAAAATCCTGCTCTCCCTGGCTCTGTGGTTTTGTCTTCTCTCGCACAGGAGCTAGGGAGGCCTGTCTGGAGGCTGGGAAGGTGAAGCCACCTCTGTTGGGACACCAGCCTCCTCCTGTCCCCAAATCAAAGTTTCTCCACTGTCTGGAGCGTGGTGGGGGAGGAGGGTGCCCAAATCAGCCATGTGCCCAAATATGGATTCTGCTTCCTGCATATGGGGCACAGGGAAAGGAGAAGGGGAGCGAAGCCTTTGAAAAGTGTCTCCTGCTCCCTTGCTCAGCACTTCACCTTGCCACAAGCCCAGCCACACTCCCGTGGTGCACCTCTTAGCCAGGCCGCAACTTTTTCCCTTTTATGATATTTTGGGTTCCCAATTGCCTGCCAAGCCAAACCTTTACTATTTAATAGGCAGAAAAAAGAAATCCTCTTAGTCAGTCCCGGTCTAAATGGTCCTCATTCCTGTCCCCCGCCTCTCTTGGGCTGGTCCTGGATGCGGGACCAGGGCTGATGAGGACTTACTTGAGGGCAAGTGTCAACTCTACTTACACTCCAACGTGGCAATTTTGCTAATGGAGGTGTGGAAGTTGCAAGGAGGAAGGAGCACACAGCACTCTTGCTGGAGAGGGTCTGCGGAGCCGTCATGGAGATGGGGCATCAGGGGAAGGTACCAGGGGCAGTGCTACTGCAGTGTGGCTTCCACACCCAGAAAGTGACTTGCCTGTCATCAGACAGCGAGTCAGGACAGTGGGGATGGAAACGGCCTCTGACATCCAGCCCTAGCGCTGCGGGACTGTCTTGTTTTCTTATCTATCCTCTTGCCATGTATCTTTGGGGCCTGGAACATAGTAGATGGTCAATAAATATTTATTGAAAAGATGAATAAATATGGTTACACCTCTCAAACTTCAAACAGGGAAAAGTTTGATTATTCAGAGGTCTTGTTGGAGGCAATAATGAGCTCACTGAAGCCATGCAGCTCTCTTTTCCTTGTCATTTCATGAGGGGTGGGCTTGGATGAGGAAGAGGAGACAGAAATCAAGCAGAGAGAGGCCCTGAAGGTCACTATGTCCCCGCTGTGCCAAGAGTCCTGGACAGGCAGCATCGGGAGGTCTGCTCAGGGTACAAGGGATCATTTGGCTCTTCCCCAAATGCCAAACTGTGCAGGCCTGGGCCTTCTCTCACCTTGGCAGGGAGGGGGCGAGACGGGCTTGAGCAGCACGCCTAGGGAAGTCATTGGCTGGACCCCAGGGTTGGCTGTTGTAATGCCGTGCCCAACCTTTCTGCTTTCTCCCCTTCTCAGCAAGAGCACTACTGTGGGGTGAGCCAGAGGACACTCAGCCAGTTAGCCCTCCTCGGCAGAGCCCATGTGTTCTCAGACCTCTGGTGTTTGCCCAGGTGGCGTGGGCCCTGCCAGTGTGTGGGGAGGCTTCTCGGGCAAGGCGGTGTCCCTGGGAACCCATCTGTTACCCAAAAAGGCAGCTGATCCCTTGAGAAGTCTCCAGGAAGCTGGTTCCAGGGAACCATGGCCCCCTTCCCTTGTACCTCTTCTCCCAAAGACCAGTAACTGCTCCCGTGAGGAGTGGGTCTCTCTCACCACATCCAAAATCTGCCCTTAGTAATGGGTCAGTCAACCCACCCAGAGGGGTCAGTGGCTAATAGCACTGAAGCGGCCTCAGGGAAAATGAGCCTGCATTTTTCCAGGGCTCAAGGTCAGAAACCAGAGGGGTGAATATTTGAAGGTAGGATTTCAGGCATCTACCAGACCAGAGGGTGTCATGGTGTAGGGGCCTTGCTGACCTTACAGTTGTACAGCCCTCACAGGGCTAAGGCCACGGCCACTTCTAGTGTCCAAGAGAAGCAGATGAGGGAAGGGGCTAGTGTGGCCAGAGCCTCCGGGAGTAGGGCTGGTTCACCAGCCTACGGCTAATGCTTCTCCATGGAATTCAGAAATAGCCCCCACCCCAGGAGGTAACAGATTCTAGCCACATTCTCGGCTCCTCTTCCGTCTGAAGGGGTAAGACACGGAAAATGAACACGAACATGCAGTACAGCGGGCCATCATGCTTAGCCCCAAACCGGGCATAAAATAGGCCTCTACAGTGTCAGCTGAGGGTGCCTCTGTGCCCTGGGTCTTTGGCAGAGTCTTCTGGAGAGAAGCTGGAGCCTGAGGATGTATTCATCCTCAACTCTGTGGGGCCTCATCATGCAAAAAACATTTCTTTCCAACCTGGGTACTTTTCCAAGTAAAGTAACTTAAAAACCAAAAAGTTAAGGCAACAAAGCAGCGCTGAGCTAGAGAAGGGCCTTGGGCAACCCCCCCACCCCGCCCACTCTCCAAACCAGTACTGTCCCCTCCTGAGCACACCTGAGGGAGGCCGGGGGAGGAGGGGAGGGAGGTGGGCTCTACTGAATGGTGCCTGTCTTGCCCCCAGGAAAAGAGTAGGCAGCTCTCAGCAGAGGCGTGCGTGCAGCCGATCAATATGGGCTTTGGGGCCGCTGAGCTATTATTCACGCCAAAGGGCCTTGTTTGGATGAAGGCAAGGAGGGGGTGCGTGAGTTCACAGAAGCACAGTCCAGAGCCAGCTTCTTGGCATTTCCCCCCTCTGTGATGCCTTCGTTATTTATGTAGCACAAGTAACGAGATGGTTCAGGATGAGGAAGTGTTTTCCCCGCAGTGTGAGCCCCATGAGGCATGGGAATGGGGGCTATGCTGGGGTCCCAGGACATGGGCGCCCTGTCTTTCCCCTCCCATGGCTCTCCTTGAAGGAGGGCAATGATGGACCCAGGGTGGCACCAACTGGGCCAACTTGCCTGCCTCACCCTCTTGACTGACTTTTCCCTGGCATGAGCCCCCCTCACCACACTCCTTATGCCCTGGTGCTGGGGAATCCACCCGCAGCCTGTGCACCATGGGCTCTTTACCTCCTCAGGCACTCCCACCTGCCCTGCCATCTTGGTTGGCCTACTCGCCTTTGATAAGCTGGCGCTGGGACATTCATCTTGTCGTTGAGCTGGAATCCCAACACACACAGGCAGTCTCTCTCAGCATTCGCCGTGTCTTCCATTGTCCACAGCAGGAGAGGCCCCTGACTGGCTTCATCACCCATTTCCGAGCCCTGTATCCAGCCTGGGCTCCAGGCACACACACCATTTTCCTGCCTGTGCCTGGCTGCCTTTGGTTACCCTTCAGTATCTTCCTTCTTGGGGGTGCAGTGCTTGTGGCTTTAAGAACTTTTCTGAGCTGTCCATGCAGTCACCTGCCCCATTTTAAAATGGGTGACATCCTGTCTAGGAGCCAGCTGACTAGTCCCACTGTGTGGACAGCCTCTGGCAGATACCACTGATTTGAGCCTGATGAACTACAGGCAGAGTAAAGCCATATAAACAAGAATACTTCCTGTGGTCTAGTTTAAGGTTAATGAGTTACAGCACAGGGTGAGGTGGAGCTTGAGGGTTGGCATCTTGCCTCAGGCAGTACCCTTACTGGTGTCTCTGGGTGTCAGACTGGGGATGGCTCACCAGAGCTCCCCTTCCTTCTGGGAAAATGACTCGGAGCTTGCCTTTTGCTGAGGCATGGAGTCTATTCCAAAGGTGGTGTGGGTAAAATTGCAATATTTCCAGAATCTCTCACCTGGCCTTAGTGCATCTGCATATCAGTAGGTGTTTCCAAGGGGTGGCAGGCTGCCATATGGATAATTTGGAGCGGATTGGAATTGAGGCTCGAGATCCCCAGGCCCTGGTGCATCTGCTGTTTCCATGCCCACGTGCTCAGTGAGGCTTGATGTCAGGCCTTGACTGGCTCATGCCCGCTGGACTGGCCCCTCGTGTGCCACGGCTCCCGTAGTAACATCTGTCCTTGGGTAGGTGATGCTGAGAGATGCTGTCTGAGCGAGAAGCACTTATCATCCCTCTCCTTCACATCTGTGAGGTAGCTGCTCAAAGGGTCTGTCTCTCAGGATGGGTTAATGGGAGTAAAATAGGCTAGGAGAAAAGCACTTTCTGTGCCCTGACATTGACCAGAGCACCTCAGCCATGGGAATGCCAATGACCCAGGCCTCTAGGGTGGCGTCCATGGTTATGATCCAACAGGTGGCTGGGTGCAGCCAGCAGTTACAGCATGGAGAATGCCACTGACTTCTGACCTGGGATGGTGATGATGATGGAGCTTCTTCCCCTCGAGCTCACAGCTCATGGTGAAACTCATCCTTTCACCATTGGAAAAAAGGTGGAAGGTCAGTCCCAGCAAAGCATCGCTCCTGTTGTCTACAAGGGAGATACTGTTTGCAATGAGCTCACTGACCACACAGAGACGCCGCAGACATCCCCCATCAGGCCCTCCTTGCACCAGCCAGTGGACACACAAGGGTTCCTTTAAGAAGTCCTTAGTTCCTCTTGCTCCAGATCACAGTCCTGCAACCACACACTCAGCTAGATGGGGAGGCAAGTGGACCAGAGACAGGGAACTCACAGCTGTTCCCCTGACACCAGCCCCAGCCACAACCAACCAATGGCTTGGCTGTGGATACACATTTCCCCCAGGAAAGCCACCTCCACTCCCGAGTGCCAAGTGCCCCACTCGGCTAACAGTTCACACTAAGGAGTTGAGGAAATCATGGCTTGGAGTTAATTCCCAGCTACGTAGACAAATGTCTATAAATATTTATGATGGGAAATTTCATTATTTAAAAATTCTGCTCTAAATTTCCAGCTAACTCCATGAAGAAGGCCTGCTGAACAGGTTGCAAATTAAGAACAATTATTTTCCTCTTACTGCATTTGAATAGAACTTACAGCTAAAGTCATTTAAAGGGGTTAACATCCACCTTAATTAAATATTAAAGTGTGCCGTACCTGCTGCTATTGTTGCCCCTTCGAATAAGATATAACCTATTTTTGACAAGTTTTCATCTTTCTCTGTGGAAGACGCTACATGAAATCAAATCAGCGGCAAAGAGGAGAGTAATGAATAATCTATTTCATATTCCAACAGAACCCAGAGCTCCAAGTGGAAAAATATTCAGTCAGATGATGGCAAGAGGCTGCTGGGGTACCACATGACACAGCTGATGTTTAAATAATAATAATAATAAAAAGCAATAAACAAATCATTAGCCCTTAACAGTTGTTTAATGCAATTTGTTAACGGACGTAATGGTGGGGACTAATAATGAAAGAAAATAAAAACGTCTAAACAGGCGCCAAGTTGCTGGCGATGCGCGATTATTTCCTTGTCAAGTTTTTATGATTTAATGAGCCCCTCTGGGACTGACGGCTGTCAGTCAGTCGTGACTTTTTGACACCATTACAACTTCAAATACAGCAGCAGGCAGGCTGTTTTCCTCGGATTTGAAATACCGAAATGATCTGACAGTTTTAAAGAAAAGATGTGCAAAAAAAAAGAAAAGGAGAAAGGGAGGGAGAGAAAGACAGTTGCTTTCCTTTCTTTCTTCATACCCCCCTCCCTTCTTCTATGGGGTAGATAATCTCTGGATGCTGTTTGGTAATGAAAATCCAATCACTGAGGTCATTATCTGATGAGGTTTTTGGAGCAGGCAGGCTTTCTTCCCCCTCTTTATTTCTTTACTTAATGATAACCCTCAATGGGCTTGCCCCGCATGGGACGGCCAGAGCCGTACAATTTTGTTCACCATTAATTTCAGCCTTTGAAGCTCAGGGCTCAGAAGCAGTGGCAAAGCAAACCCCCCACCAAGCTGGTTCCAAAATAAGACAATCCAGCCTGCCTTAAACAGAATAGCAAATGGCCTCCCAGCCCAGGCCTGGCGGCTGACGTCAAGCCCACTGCATTTGCACGCGTTCACCTTCAACGTGGAACATTTAAAAACTCTTTACAACTTAAGAGACTTTAATTAAATTGCTTTTGATTCTGGAGCACGGTGGCATCAGCTTTATTTATTCCGTCAGGGAAACTGTTGAGTCTCTATGAATTTTATATGGTGAGGGCTTCCTCCCCATCTTTCTCCTTATCCCCTGCCCCCCTCCAACATCATTTTGAACAAAGGCTCCCAACTTTAGAAATATTCATCTATCGAAGTCTACATATTAAGTTCTTAGATCCTTTCCCAGATCCATGCCCTGCTTCAAATCTGTGGGTTCTCTTCCTTCCCCAGAGGGGCAGGGAAGGAGGGAGGACAATCTGTCTTCCTCGGAGCTCCCCAGGAGGGCCAGGCAGGGGTTCCGGGGACTTTGGACCACTGTCTACGAAGCGCTCACGACCCCAGTCCAGGGGTTCACTCCCGAGGTGGGTCTGAGGGGGCTGTTAGGCTAAGGGTAATCTGTTCACATTCCTCCCACTCTCAAGGCTGAACTGGGGCAAAATCTGAGACAAGAGCTGCAAAAGAGAACTGGAAAGATAAAGCCATTGGGAGGTGAGCAATGTGCTCCCTCCTCATTCATGTATTTCAACATATATGCAAGGTTTTAGTGAAATATTTAGAAGCCAGCAAGGTTAGATGATCAGATCAACCCTTGGGAAGGGTCTGGAGGCATGAGGTGTAGCTGGCTAACTGGTTATACATTCTAGCTAAGATGAACCGTTTCGAAGGAAGCCACCACAGAGTTTGGTATAATTCTTCCCCACCATTAGTGTTTCAGAATGAGAAGGAGGTTGTTTGTTTCCTTGCTTTTTAATGGTTTCTTAGGTGTGTTTAGCATGTGCAGAATTGCATTATCAGACTAAAAGCTTCTTGCTGAGCTAGATCCTTTAAGCTGATAGGAAAATGAGCCCAGCCTTCTTATTCCTTCACTGCGCTTCTTCTCTCTGCCAAAATCCCAAACCATCCCTGAGAAATAAAGGCTGCAGCTTTATTCACACAGTACTAAATGATTTAACTGAAGACATCAGGCCCTGGCCTGTTGCGATAAGTACAATTTCTCCGGTGGATTTTGCCATGCTGCATCCATCCACGTGATCTCAACCCGTGGGCACGGGTGGTTAGCATTATTAATGAAGGGAACAGGTCTGCTTTTCAGGGATTCAGAGATTCTAACTGTATTCAAAAGATAGCACAGACCCTGTAAGTGTCTATGAAGTCTTAAGAAGAACACACTTGCTTTATGACTAGGGGGAAAGTGACCTCAGCTTGGGCACCTTTAAGCCTGATGATAAGCGAATTCATTTTGAACACAATTCCTGGTTACCTTAGACAGAAAGAAACCAAAGAAAATCACAAAGCAGGTTAGAGGTTTGAATACACAGTGAATTCACGAAGGCTGCACCAACGTTTGTTAGTAAAAACTGTCCTTTTGTAACACACTGCAGTCCCTTCTTTTTTGAAAGGAGGTTAGTGAACATTTTCCACAAAGTTTATTTCTTGTGGCTCATTTTCTAGCACTGATTCTACCATATTTATAATCACATTTGAAATTTCACACTGACTGAGTCACGTTCTTGCTCTCCCTGAAATATTCATGTTCTCTCTACAGACCAGAATGGGTGTGGGGAGAACCCTGTCAGGCCTTCTGCATGTATGAGGGCTGCGTTTGGCAGTGCAAATACTAAAACCGAAAGGACACAGGAATGCTTACATAGGTCTTGGGGAGGAGGTCACAATTAAATACCATGCCCGGGCACACTTTGCCAGCAAATTCTGGGGACTCTGGAATTTTTGGAAGGTAAGGAAATATTTCCTGTAGCCAGTATCAAAGTTGTGAAAAGTAGGTATCAGGCAGGCTCAGCAAAAATATTCTTAGCATGTAAGAAAAATTATGTATAGAAAAACAAAGAAAGTGCTAAGTCAATTTCCCGCACAAGGGACATTAAATACCCACCTTTACAATGAAAGCCCTCAGGCAGGTTGACTGTATTCGTTATGCCTGGGCAGGAACAGGGCTGGTTTGCTGGAGTTGGTCACTGGTTCTGGCCCCTGCTTTTCTTTGCATTTTTATCTTCAGACATCACAGAAGGGCAGTTCGATGACACAAGGTATGTGACAGCCAGCACAGTCCATCAGAAGCCCCTGTGACTGACTCATCACGCCCTTTCCCAAACCATGGCCCCTGACACGTCCACAGGCAAGGAAGGATGTCACCAAGGCTATTTTGGTTAGTAGGTGAAATTACCAAAAGGCAAATAAACATTCACCTTTCTCTCTAAAAAACAAAAAACAAATCTGGACGAAGACAAACCTAGAAAAGGAAACCAAACCACATGCAAACAGGAATAGAAAACATTTTTACACTCTTTGCACTTCAGCTGAACGGTGGTGAGAGAGAGGGAGGGTCATTCAGGGCCTGTCAGCACAGAAGAATGATTCATGTGACCATTTTGTCTTAATTACTCAGAACAAGTCATTGCTGCTGTTTCTCAAGGAAGAGCAGATACATCAGTGTCTTCTCACAGAAAAAGTGATTGCCATCAGGATGGTAGCGACCAGGACGATGGCCAGGACGACGACCAGGATGCGGTTCTGGATGATTCTAGGAGAGAGCAAAGGCAACAGAACAAAAGTCACACAGAAAGACGGAGGACATTCTGACAAGGGTCATCCTAGACCAAGGTGCTAATCAAAAGATGGCTTCACAGGTGTGGGCGGAGAGCCCGGTGTGGGGTGGGGCATGTCTGCGTGCATGTGTGTATGCACGCACGTGCACCCATGCAGCTTTCGTGTGTATGTGTGTGTGTGTGTGTGTGTGTGTGTGAGTGTGTCCATGCAGCTTTTTGGCTCTACAAATAATCCATGAGGACGCGAATGACTCCGCAGAGATCGTCATCCTACACCTGGAGAAATGCTTACTGCAAAGCTAAGCGAATCAAATGGCTTTCTGGGCTCGGAGTACATGTACTGATCTTTAAGCGATCAAGGGCCCCACGTGAGCTTCTCTTTTTAATTTAAAATGTGAGACAAGCCTCTTTTTTTTGCAGTTTTCCTGATAAAGTAAGAGACTCCAAAGAAACACATGTCAGTAAGGTACTTACCTGTACAAAAATACCCGGAGAAAAGTAAAAGGGAGATTTAGGAAGAAAAGGACAGGATAAAAAAGCAAGTGTCAAAGTTACAGCTCCGGCTGGAAACCCGTGGTCTGTCGCTGGGGCTCCCTGCTCTGTTATACTGGGAGGAAACGTGACGTTTGCTCCATAACAAGAAGAGATGGAAATGAGCAATAACACAAAGCACTGGAGCGTTTCGTTGGCTCTGGCTGGGGGGCCCCCACCTCTAGGGACTCCAGCCCCCCCACCCCAGCTCTGGCTCTGCCAAATACTCATGGGGAAGTGGGAGCTTGGGAGAACCCGCGTGGGGATGCGTGCTCCACGATGCCTGCCGAGAGCTTCTGACAAAGTTGTTTCACAATTTGTTACCTCATTCTGAGAAAATAGGTCGAACACCAGAATGCTTTGTTGAGACTTTCAAAGGGAACCTGGGTCAAACTGCGTCACCCATGCTCCCCCCACAGAACCGACCACACAGAAATAGAGACAGTGGTTGGCGCCCTCGCCGGCTGTGCACCTGGCTAAGACCCCATAGCAAACTCCATCCACCCGTCCTCCAAATATCAAGCAGAAAATTTCTGCTGCCTTCGTCTAGACACAACACTGCACGGGGGCTTCCACAGGAAGGAGATAGGAGGGATGAACCAGGCCCCCCATTTAACAGAGACCCCACCCTCCTAATTTGTATCTTCACAAAGAAATCTTTGCAGGGAGTTCAAAGCCTTTTCAGCTTCTGGCTGAGTTTCTTTCCTGGAAGGATGATGACATCCTCTCACCCACCCTGTCCTTCCCCAAACCTAAATGGATGGCTGGACACGGTCACATCAGGCAAGCCCACTCCCTTGTGGCCCCCTGGAAGGACTGGCTCCCTCTCTTCCTGACAGGTTACAAAATGATCGCATTTGCTGACACGTCTTCCGCAAAACTGCTTTAGCCTGTGTCCACTTTCCTCGAAGGAGATGAATGATCCGCTCGGCCCTCATTTATCACGTAAGGCTCAGCGAAGATCTGTCTCGTTTGTTTCTCCCCTTCCCCACTAGAAAGGCTGTGCCCCAACATTAATTATTCTGCGATGACAGCTAATTCAGACTTCACAGACCATATTTGTTCGGGAGGCAGGAACATTCTCTGTCCCCAAAATAAATAAATAAAAATGGGACTTCATGGCTTGTTAAAGTGAGGCTAATTATGAAACGCTGATCGGTGCTACTTGGTGGCTCGATTTAAAACCCAAATTGATTTTTTCCCCTTTTCTCTGGAAGGGGCAGAAGTCTTCAGAACGGTCTCTACACATCCTGTTTGCCCAAGTCACTGTCACAATCTGTATTTACCACAGTCAACAGCTTCAGACTTGCAAAGAAAATCAGCAAAATTGAAACTCAGCAGTGAAACAGATTAAAAGCAAGAAAACTCTTTAAAATTCTGCCTTAAGTAATATACGGTAGTGTGTCTCTTGGCTGACAACCATTTTATTTGTGGGTTGAGGGCCCCAAGGCATCCATGACGCTAATTTATAAAGGATTAACTGTGGGTGTTACTTGTTAATCTGAGGCATGGTTAGAAAAATGAAAACATGGGAATCCCTAAATCCTCAGCTCTTCCCTGGCCTTCCTAATTGCGCTTCATCTCAAAGCAAAGAGGGGTGATCTTTCCTAACAGTTTGTATCTTAATTCACGCAGCACACAGCCCATCCTCAAACAGCCTGATGTCACTACTGGGTTGCAGACATTCAGAAAGACCAAATTGTCCACCGCCGGGTTGGTGTGTGACCTCTAACCCATCACACAGCACAGTTGCTGGTACACAGGAACTTAAAAGAGAACTGTCCAAAGTATGATAATGAAAGAACCCAGCCACCATCATTGTAATCTTTCCCTTCAAAGGAGAATGGAGAAAAAAAATCTGTGCACATTTAATTTGCAGGAAAATCTCAGGGAGTTTGCGCAGAAAAGGTTGAAGTTGAAAGCTGAAGTAAATTCCCAAAGATAAACTTCATACTTCGGTGCCTTCTCAGTGCGCTATCGGGTCTTCTCCCTGAAACTTGGAAGGAATGGGCCTCACAGACCTGAGGCACACGCTGGCAGTGGGAGAAGTTGGCAGGAGAGAGCACTTGCTTTCAAACCAAAGACTGGCAGAATTCTGGGATGAAGCGGATAGTGGGGCAAGAGTTGGAGCAGACGGGGCTGAAAGTGAGCTTGGCTCTGGCTAGGCTATCAGCCCTGCTTTGGTCCTCAAAGGTACTGGACACATACAGTGTTTCTAAGGACTAGAGAAGTTAGCTGTTGGGCCTTGTGGCTAGGACCCTGCCAGCCTGGATGGAGGGCAAACACAGGCTGGCCCTGGTGGGCCCCATCTGTGAGGAAGCCTGGAGTACAGTCACAGGCACGGCTGCTGGCAGGTATTGCTGTAGGCAAAGCAGAAGGGAGTGTAGAGGTTGGAGGGAATCAGCAAAATAAGCCAGGAAGAGGGGAGGTCCCAGCGAGGGAGCCAGAGAAGGAACTTCGGGGAAGCCCAAAGTAACTCGCTTCTAACTCTGGGCTGGGATGAGGGGGTGCTTTATGTTCTACTAGGTCTGCAGCAAGCAGTCTTAATCTCCCTTTTGAAAATGCAAAGTGTGTTTACCCAGTAAATAATTTAAGAAAGAATATACACTTGAAAGAAGACATCCATTGAAACAGCCAGGCTAAATTGCCTCCAGGCAAAAACTTGTGCATTTGCATGCTGCATTCTATTAAGTGAGCACACTGTGGCTTTAAAAGAATGCAGAGCCAAATTAAAAGGAATGTGGGCCCGAAACATCAAGGATTCTCCAAGTTACATTATGAATCACAGTGCTGTTGATACAAGATGAATTAACCATTTACTTTGAGGCTGAACTCACAAAGTACTATTGAAAATACTGATCCCTGTGTGGAACCCAGGGAGCAGCTAATTTTTCCATTGCCCGTCTCCTCCCCCTCTGGAAACAAGCTCGTGCGTGTGGCAGCAGGAATCACAGAAGACTGGTTAAAGGGAAGTGGGCGGGCACCGCACCTGGCACAGTTCTCTACTCTTGCTTGAGGAGGCCGGGAATTCCACTGTAGCAGGCGTTACCAATGTTCGCCAGTATCCAGTTTTCCTCTACTTCCAGGCACTGGGCACTTACCTGTCCCTTGATGTTAGGAGTGGCCGTATGCCCTGTTTTACTCAATTAAACATGAGCAAAAGTGCAGGGTGTCCCTTCCAGGCAGAGGCCTTTGACTCCCAGTGTCTGACTCTCCAGCCGGCTCTTCCTTTGCTGTTCTGATCTAGGCGGCTGCCATGTTCCAGGAATTCAGTTTTAGGTTGGCTGGTGGAGACTCCTGCTGCCTGGATCCCTGAGTCATCTAATGGAAGACCATTGTCCTGGAAACTCATCTGGACTCACTGTGGGTGTGTATTAAACCAACGATGTTTGGGGGTTGTCTGTTACTACAGCACAACACAAGCTACCCTGAGTGATACACTAACCATCCCCCTGACTTCTCCAACAAGGTTGGGCATCTGGCCAAGCCAAGTGAGCCTCTGGTTTAATATACTCCAGAAGCCATGGTATGATAAGGGCTGATATGACTTTATTTCTTTAAGAAGAGGTTTTTGTCTCATGGTTTTCAAAAGCTAGGATACTCTTCTGGGCCTACTTAGTCATAACACTTCTCACTGAAGACTTAAGAGCTTCTTCCAATTGTCACCAATGCCACTGTGTGTTGATGAATGTTTCAGCAAGCTAAGCTAGGTACTCTGCTTCCCACATATAAAAGACATATGTTGACTGCATTTGTTTCTCCGTTCAGAACATCTGACACTACCTCTAGCCCCCAGGACATAGAGATGACCTAGGCTGAGAAGGTTGGTGTGTTCCGTACCTCTGTCTACAGTGACTGGACCAGAAGCAGGCATGTGAACTAAATTAGTCTAGTAGAGTGGATCTCAGAAGTTTTGCTTGGGATCCTGAGTCGTCTGGACTGTGTGGTGTGTGGATGTTGGACCTGGATCTGCTGCAGCCATTTTGTTTCCATGAGGGAAGCCAGCCTAAGAAAGAAGCTGAGTTGAAAGAATGGCAGAGAAATGGAACCCCAATCCTGAAACGCTGTATCAAGGCACCCTTCCTTTGGAATTTTAGGTATATGAAAAAGTAAATTGACTTTATTTTGCAAGCCAGTTGGAGTTGGTCTTTTGGTTACTCGAGACCAAAAAGAATTTTTAGGTTGATTCACCCTGATTCCAAAAACGGGTTCTTTAGCTACAGCATATTTTCCTCACCTCTACACTTAGCACACAGTTTTCTGACTTTCTGTTTCTGTGCATTTTTCTCCCATAAAAGTGGACATTCTAGTCTCTGAATCACCTTTATCTTTTGCATTCCAACTACCTAAAGCAGAATTTTGCTTAGACATTCTCAAAAAAAAAAAAATGCTTGCTAAATGCATGGATGAGAGACTCTACCTACATGTGTCCCCTTGAAGATCC